CCTCACTCCCTCTCACCCTGTCCCCTCTACCACCTCACTCCCTCTCACCCTGCCGCCCTCACTCCCTCTCACCCTGTCTCCTCTCACTCCCTCTCACCCTGTCTCCTCAAACTCCCTCACTCCCTCTCACTCCCTCTCAGTGAGGGGTAGGGTGAGAGGGAGTGAGGTAGTCATGGGAACCTCCCACTCTTCCCAGCTGTCAGTCATACTGGGGGAGGGGGGAGGAAACTCTGCAGAGCTGCCGGAGTGACAGGGTGCGATATGGAGGAGAGAGGCGAACGGGAGAGGTGCAGGAGGAGGTGTGTAGGCAAGGCTGTCGGACCGGTGTGGCCGCCTGGCTGCGCTCAGCGCTGCCGGGGCGCGGCGGGGAGCCAGCGCGCGGCGGGCAAGGTGTGTGGCAGCGGCTGTCACGCTGGAGAGCACCCAGCGAGTCCCGAGCGCTTTTAAAACGAGGGCACTCTCGCCCTGCCTCGCCTCGCCTCTCTCCTGCTGGTTTGTGTTTGCGGAAAGATCAAAGCGTGCCAGCCTGACGTCCGTTTGCTCTGTGTCTGCTGGAGCCAATCCTGTCCTGCCAGCGGGGAGGCGAAGGGGAGATTGGGAAAGCAGTGTCCTGTGGGAAGGTCCTGGCAGATTGTGGCACGTCTCTCTAGATGTGGCGCTGTGTGTCTGGAGTGTGCCACAGCCACAGAAGGCAAGTGCCCCTGACCGGGGAGAAGAAGTGAAACTGAGGGGGCTGTTGTGCAATAGCTGTGTGCTCCTCTGGAGTCTACCTTGCATGATCCCCGGCCACACAGGAAAGCCCGTCGCCAACAACACTGTTGCTTATGCTTGTAAAGGGCCGCGCTCGGCGTGCACTGCTGACGGCGCGGGGGGAGGAGAGAATCTGCCTTTTGTTTGAATTGGCAGATTGTTTTTTTTTCCTGGGGCAGGTAACGCAAAAGGACGTTCCTTCAGAAGTCACAAGTCTGTAACCCGACTCGCGTCTCGTTCGGAAAAATCACTCGCTCATCGCCGCAGAGGCGGCAGAGCAGGGGAGCAGAGGAATTAGCCTGTCAGGTCTTATTTGTCATCATCCCCTCCCCTCCCCTGCCCCGCAGTCCTGCTCCGTCCTGCCCTCTCGTCCCTGTCATTAGCGTTATTAGCTAGAGAAAGCTTAGAAATGACAGCTTAGTGGGGGAACATCAAGAGCCGTTCACCTGGCATTTTGAAGACGGAGGCCTCTTTCCTGTGTGTCGGGGGAGTTAACTGCTGCGCAGACTGAGCTGAACTGTAGCCGATCTCCCGTTCCGGACTCTGCGCAATACTGGGTTTTTGCTTCGAAATACGGACTCGATAATACGATGGTGATATTTCTTTCTCCGCCACCTAGTTTGGATTCATGAACTCGTCTTGGTGCCCTAACCCACAAGCCAGATTGAGATGGGGGCGGTGTCCCCCGACATCCGTGCGCGGGTCACCCCCTCGACACGGGCGGGGAGGGAGGCCAGCGGCTCGCACTCGGGGCCGAGCTGAGCCCTCGTCTTCGTCTTTTCGGCGTTATTCCGGCCTGGCGAGGTCGGCGCTGTGCCCGATGGAAGGAAGCGGGTGCCTCAATGGGGGGTGTCAGAATGACGGGGGGCCGGTCCGCTCGGGGTGTCTTTTACGCCCGGTGCTGACCCCTCTTTCTCACCCACGACCCCTGCTTAACTGTCATGGCGTCAGGTAGCTGCAGAGCAAGACAAAATCCCCATTAAGAAATGTCAGTTTTGGTAAGAAAATGAGTTATCCGGTAAAATGGCAAAATATTCCGTTTTAGCACACGGAGGTTTTTGGAGATATCGATACGGTTGCTCCGCGTTCTTGCTAGTTAGTGCGATCTTTGTAGCGTCAGGGAAGATCACAGGGATTCCGTTCCGTTTTTGCTGCTGGGGTTCCTACGTGCAATAGCGCGCCCGTGATAGAAACGGTATTTGCACGTGGTCAGTTCTAGCCGGTATGTAACACTGTTTTTTTTCCTGAACTGCTCTGTCTGAACCGCATTAAGCTGTGGAAATGAAGCAGTGCCTTTGTTCACACTGGCTTACCATTCCTCATCCTGACATTTCGGCAACAAGAGGCATCAGGTGGTCCCTTGCGGGCCCGTCTGTTGAGCCGGGTCCCTGGCCTGTGTGTGCGTGCGTGAGGCCTGGCGCGGCAGCGGCGTGGACACCCCTCCTCGCGTTGCCGTGGTGACCGAGCGTAAGCTCCCGTCTGGCGTGACTGCGCTCCAGGCAGGCAGACCACTGGGCGGCCCGTGTCTGTCTGCAGACTGCCTCCCCACCTTTGATGGACGTCTCTCTTCTACAAAAGAGAGCTCTTCCTCTCCCTCTCGAGATGCGTTCAGCAGCCGGCGTGATTAAACACCGCCGGGGAAGTCTCGGTCCTTTTCACCCCTGGATGCGCTCGTCGTTGTCACCGTCGGTGGGTTTCAAAATATCCTCCATCTCCTCAAGAATACACACAGCTTTGGGAATGACAGACGGCACTGCTTAAGGACAGGGCAGTTTAACTGGACCTACTAGTGTATTTCTGTGTGGGAGTCTGGCACAGGCGTTGAAATAATGATAAAGTAACGAAGCCCTGAAGATCAGCCTGTTGGTGGGACACTTTGATAGGGCCTGTAATGGACTGTAATGCTCTCCTTTTGGGCATTACCGCATCTGGGGGAGGTGTTCAGCATTCCGGTTCGTTAGATAGTGTTTGAATTGGCTTCAAGCAACCTTGAGGTCAGCTGTTGACTAAAGAGCTGTGCAGGGCCCTCCTGTCAGAGTGTTGTCTCAGTGCCGTGACTGAGGGGCTTTATTCTTCCCAGTTAGGCTGTGCTCTCGTTCCTCCCCCACAGCTGGCCAGCAAGTAAAGGCAGGAGCTCTGCCTTCTATTAGTTCATATTACTGTTATTGGAATTATTCATGGTTTTGAGAGGGACTGTAATCAAAGCCACATGTCTCGCCCTGGACTGTGTTCAAAAACCTGCTGCCGAGGAATGTACCAGGCAAAGAGGGGCCGTCGCGGGCCAGCCTGTCGAAATTCAGGAGCGAGCGGGATGGTCCGCGCCTGTCCGCCCCGCCACGCCCTCGCTCCTGTAGGCGGAGCTGCTGGCTGAGCTTTGTGCAGCACGTTCAGTTCTCAGGACCCCCGAGCGGGAGTCGGATCGCAGCCTGGGGGGGGGTTAGCGTACTCCTTCAGCTTTGCGTTTCAAGGTTCGTGACTCACTCGGCAGCTGCTTTTATCTGCCGCCACTTACATTTGTACACATTTACCCAGGTGAATATTTCTCCGGAGCAGTGCTGGTGAAGTCCCTTGCTCAAGGGCACAACAGTAGTATCTCACCTGGGCTACGAGCCCACAAACATCCAGTTCCCAAACCTGAACCCAGACCACCTCCCGCCCTGCTGCCTACATTTAGAGCTTTGCCTCTCTGCTTTCTACACGTTTATAGCGTTCCAGCCCATCACCTAACACGCGCCAGGCTCCATTTGCAATGCATGGTAATATCGCGATTATTATAATACCACAGTATTCACCTCTTTTTTGAGATTAGCTCAGTGCAAGCAGTAGACAAACAGAAAACTGGCAGAGTAGAGTCGAGGTTTGTGGATCGACCACAGAGATAGTTTCCCTCAGAAATGCAGATATTAGTTTCTAAAACAATTCAGAGTGAGGAACACAGAGAAAAAAAAGGTTTGTCAGGGTTGCAGAGCAAGTTTTTCTTTTCCACGGTACGTGATGCACAGGATGTCTTGGCGTTTTGCAGTATCTGAGCCAGAGGTCATGTTATGTGCAGCCAATGGCGCGCCAATGCTTGCTTTTGTACTTCCGTGCTTAAGGTCGGAGCAGAGAGGCGTAGAAAAAATGGCTCGAAGACCGCCCCAGTTCCCTTTAGAAAGTGCTCTTGTAGCAGGGATACCGCTTCTTTTCAAGGCCAGATTAGCAACGTTTAGTCATAAAGCAAACACTAGCTATTGCTTAGCTCGCCGTGAATAGGCTTATGTGCTCAACCATTCGAATCAGCCAGGGGTTCTTGTACAGCAGTCATATCTGAAGGAGGCCTCCTTTCCCGTTTGCATTTTCATTCC